AGAAGAACTCTTTCGCACGATCTTAAGAGAGCGTAGTTCCACAAGAGCGTTAGCACGATCCTTTACTTGATGAAAGGCGCCCTGTAAGATGCACTATATCGACAAGGTTAGGAGAAAGCAGCCTAATGGATATAGCTCCAAACCAAAACTGCCCTCCATCTCGCATATAGAAATGGTTGACAAGGCATACCTATTTATGATATCAAATAGGAATGATCATTATCAGGGGATACAAATATGCCATGCTAGGATGATCTAGGCTTTCAACAGCACAAGCCACCTCCCAAGCGGCTTCCATCCAGTGCTTTGACTATTGCTACGGTCATCAACCGCAACATTGAAATGAGACTTTCCACCTTGCTTTGGACTTGAATGGATCTACTTCTGCCTCTGCCAGATCGATCATCGATCATCATTAAGAGGGTCAACCCAATCTATTGCTTTACCTCCTCTCTTTATGTTATGGTATATTTGGAATCCCTATTGGATTTCTTACTCTAGAAAAAATAGACTACTCAACAATAATGCGCACATATGAAAAGGCTTACCCCACAGGCTGACTCTTCCAATCCAACTCTATCGAAGGAGAAAAAAAGCTAGGGATACGACTTGCTTAGTGCAGGGCTGCTTGTCGTGAATGATTGGACACTCTCTTCTACTAAGGTCTTAGCTTGGTCACTCTATTAGTTTCCAAACAAGTCTATTGAATGGGTACGACAGATTGCTATTCAAAGCATCGTTAAGAGTTCTGTCTTCTAGGGAGTAGTAAAGATAAGTGACTCTGATCTTTACTTCTATGGAGCCGGATGTGGGCTTATCACCTACTGATCTTACTCAAAAAGAGTCAATGGGAGTAACACATCAATAGCAGCAGACGCAGAGGAAGAAATACTTGATATTCAGGGCTAAGATGCTGACTTTGCCGTTGAAAGAGTAATGAGAGGAAAGCCTTGACCTTCCCTTGTTTACCTTCGAACTCGGAGATTGAAGAAGATCACTCTATGCAGCGACAAAGGAAGATCTCTATATGTTGATAGATACCCGAGAGACTGAGTCCTTGGGGGAGAGAGAAAGGAGGCATTACTCCCAGAAAACGTGCAACCAACCTTTCCTTCCCGCTTCTTCCTTGAGATTCGATCTCATAGAGTTCAATTCCCGTTCTCAACCCATGAACAATATGAGCTCGAAGTTCCTTCATAACTCCCGGAACTTCTTCGTAGTGGCTCCCTTACATCCCTCACTTCAGAGGGAACCTCAAAGTGGCTCTATTTCATTATATTCCATCCATATCCCAATTCCATTCATTTAATATCCCTTGGTGTCATGACATAACAATGTCGTTTCTAGTCTATGTCTTTCGGTGCTAGGCGAGGTTTGTGATTATTTTTCAATCTTTTCTACTAGGTAATCTAGGATCCTTATGCATGAAGATAATCAATTGGTCGTTGTGGTCGGACTTATGATGGATTTCTGACCACATTCTCCATAGGGCCCTCTTATCTCTTCCTTCTCCGAGCTCTGGTTATGGAAGAAGGAACCGAGAAGAAGGTATCAGCAACAACTGGTTTTATTACGGGGCAGCTCATGATGTTCATATCGATCTATTATGCGCCTCTGCATCTAGCATTGGGTAGACCTCATACAATAACTGTCCTAGATCTACCATATTTTTGTTTCATTTCTTCTGGAACAATCACAAAGACTTTTTTGATTATGGATCTACTACCAGAAATTCAATGCGTAATCTCAGCATTCAATGTGTATTCCTGAATAATCTCATTTTTCAATTATTCAACCATTTCATTTTACCAAGTTCAATGTTAGCCAGATTAGTCAACATTTATCTCTTTCGATGCAACAACAAGATCTTTTTTGTAATAAGTGGTTTTCTTGGTTGGTTAATTGGTCACATTTTATTCATGAAATGGCTTGGATTGGTATTAGTCTGGATACGGCAAAATCATTCTATTAGATCTAAGAAGTACATTCGATCTAATAAGTACCTTGTGTTAGAATTGAGAAATTCTATGGCTCGGATCTTTAGTATTCTCTTATTTATTACCTGTGTCTACTATTTAGGCAGAATACCCTCACCCATTCTTACTAAGAAACTAAAGAAGCCTAAAAACAGAAGAAAGGGTGGAAAGTGAGGAAGAAAGAGATGTAGAAATAGAAAGAGCTTCCGAAATGAAGGGGACTAAACAGGAACAAGAGGGATCCACTGAAGTAGATCCTTCTCCTTCCCTTTTTTGGAAGAAAGGTGGGATCCGGACAAAATCGATCAAACGGAAGAAATATCTCGTGCTTAAGACATGAGAATTGGAAGGCGTATCCCATACGTACTTTTTCTTAGCCGGTGTGTTGATGATCCATAAGCCCTATTCACTCCTTTTTTCTTTTTTTTTTCTCGTCTCATGACGGGAGTGCTAGAGCCAAAAAATGCATTCTTTAGTCAAGCAATGAGAAAGATTGACCAATCTCATCATATCTATTTCATATTCATATGCCCTCTAACTTGAAGGTTCCACTGCCTAACTAGACTTCTCATTCATCGGAAGTAAGGGCTAAGAGTTATCATGAGTTAACTCCGGCTTATCTACTAAAGGCTGTAACTTTGAACTCAACTCTAAAGGAAGTGACTTCGGGTTGGAATATCAGAGCAGAGGCGGGCATAGAATCTATGAGTGTTTGGATTGAATCCCTTGGGACTTGAAACTGAATCTTAGTCTGCAGGAATTAAGACTGGTTTTAGCTTTCCTGCCTTATCTTACCTTATCTGAAGTTGGACGGGATTCCTAAGTCGAATGACTGATCTCCGGACTCTTTACGGCTCTCAATCTCAATACTAGCTGGGGTTCAGTTCAAACTGCCTTGACTCCGAAGGAGAAGATTCTCTAGTCTGTTTTCCCGGTGCAGAATATAGGGATTTGAATAGAATCCCTGCCTTTGTTTGATTACCCAGATGGGATTGCAGCTACGTCAAGAATCCCCGAAAACAGAGGAATCCTCGGCTCTTCTCAACTCTCTCACTAAGGGCTTCTATTCCAATAAGCCTACTTATACGTTCTATCTGAGCCTAGCTTCCAAAGCCAACTCATTCACAGGGACGGGATAAGGGCTAAAGAATCATATCCTTACTTAGATCAAGCTCCTGGCCGGAACTTCTAAATCACAGGTTGAGATCGTAACTCAATCTAAATACACGAATTTCAGGACGTCTAAGTCAGAAGTAGTAGCTCGAGTTCTTACGGCCTTTAGTCCGAAGTAGCTTCATCAAGACTATCTTACCCCGGAGCTATGGAAGTGAAGAGTTCAAATATGCTAGAAGCATAGGGTACCGGGTAACCCCTCTTTCAGGCTACATGTTTCAAAAGATGATTCCCTGCACCCCCTTCGGGGAGTTTGTTAGCTCCCTCTTTCTTCTTTAAGTATACTTAGACTCAATTTAGTCTAATTCTCTAAAGTAAGATTCACCTTATCTAGGGCTTGGTCTACCTTAAAAAGCCCAATAAGTCCTGCTGCGGACAAGCCTGAGCCCTACCTCTAGCGAAATATATATCATATTATTATCCAAGAGACCCCTACCTAGCCTTTGCTTTTAGGGATAAAGCCCCCCATAACTACTTCCTTTCTGAGGGAAGACGCGTAGATCGATACAGGAGTCGATTTAATATAATATTGATTTTCTAAGTCTTTCTACGCCAGCTAACGGTGCCACCGACCCTGAAGACAGAAACTGACCTATCCAATAAATTAACCTACGCGCTGCGAATGCCGAAATTGGTTTTGTGTTCCGTTCATGGGGATATAGCATCGAGATAGATTCCATAAAGGGAAGGGCGAACTGCCTAGCAAAGAGAAAGGGCGGAAGGGGCCCTCGCTAGGAGTTAGAATTCAAAAAATAAAGAAGACGGTCACTCTACTACTATATACTACATTTAGACTTCTTCTATCGGTCCCTTTAGGCATGATGATATGGTCTCTTTAGCTGCAAGGATGGTAGCCCGGGGGAAGCTAGTCTATCAGAAGGCAGTTCTTGAGCAAGTGAGATTGGTTGAAGTTCAATATGCATCATCAACTGGAGAAGAAAGATAGGGTCGAATATGATTAAGACGAATATGTCGAGTTAGAGCACGGATTTCCATTCTTCTCTTACAGTTCCTCCACCGAACTCTAGTACAGAAGGAATGGAATAGCCGTGACGCGGTCTGTCGCCAAGCCCGCCTCTCTCTCCTTTCTTGCGGGCCATTACTCTACAGAACCAGCATAGCTCGCAGACGAGCACGCTAATGAGGCCCTGAGCCGGATAGATGAAGATGGGAAGGTCAGACTTCTACTGTCTCGAAGTCTCCGATAGAAAGAATGATTGATTGCTTGAATGCCGGGCCATCTACTCGCGAAATCACCCCGGTCCGAACCCTCTCAGCTCCTTCCTAAAGAAGTGAATTGTTGATCGATCAACGGAGCGAAAGTCATAAAGGAAATCCAACTCCCAGTCTCATTTACTGCAGCAAATAGAAAAGAAGGGCAACCGGAAAGCGAACAAAAGAAAAGAGAGAATTTTAGCCTCTGGCTCAGGATCAGGTGAGGGCGCTGGAGGGGGTGTTAGCTCTTCGACAGAACCAAGCCTTCCCGCGGCTGAAGAAGAGCCAGGGGATCGGTCCGAGATCGAAAGAGCCTTGGATCAACTTGAATTGGCCAAGATTAAAGAACAAAAAGATCGCTTGGCCGAACAGATTAGCCCCCTGATTGAATCGGAGAAGGCACGCCTAGTTCGAAGGTTGTGGCACCACAACTTGGGTGAACTTCCATCACCAAGTGAGATGGTCGAAATGATTATTGACCGCTTCGCCAGCAAAGCTGCCTATAATGCCAACAAACCCAATGTCCCCAGGGCAAATTTACGGCACTTGAGGGCTTGGTTGACACGAGCACAACAATCGGCGGAGCGCGATGGGAAGGGAAAACATGAGTATAAAAAATAAGATTTCTTCCATAATTGAAGGATATTTCAAGTAGAAGAGCTGACGTATTGTTTCACATTTGAATTTCTCTTACATTCTACGTTCCCGAAATGGATCCTATCAAATATTTCACATTTTCTATGATTATCTCTATTTCAGGTATTCGGGGAATTCTCCTTAATAGACGAAATATTCCTATTATGTCAATGCCAATTGAATCAATGTTATTAGCTGTGAATTCGAACTTTTTGGTATTTTCTGTTTCTTCGGATGATATGATGGGTCAATCATTTGCTTCATTGGTTCCAACGGTGGCAGCTGCGGAATCTGCTATTGGGTTAGCTATTTTCGTTATTACTTTCCGAGTCCGAGGGACTATTGCTGTAGAATCTATTAATAGCATTCAAGGTTAAAGATGACTCCTAGAGAGTTACCAAAATACGAAGTTCTCTTCTCCTTTCTTTCTCTTCTTTCTTTTTGATACTTGGCTGGCAGGGTCAGGGCCTTTCTCGCTGGGCGAGCGCATCCGATTCTAAAGTCCTTTCTTATTCTTAAACCACTTCCCGTTCAGTTGCTGAAAGATAGAGATCAGACTTTCTAAATGAGATTGAGTTCCACGAATATGCAGGCTAGAAAGATGCTATTTGCTGCTATTCTATCTATTTGTGCATCAAGTTCGAAGAAGATCTCAATTTATAATGAAGAAATGATAGTAGCTCTATGTTTTATAGGCTTTATCATATTCAGTCGGAAGAGTTTAGGTAATACTTTCAAAGTGACTCTCGACGGGAGAATCCAGGCTATTCAGGAAGAATCGCAGCAATTCCCCAATCCTAACGAAGTAGTTCCTCCGGAATCCAATGAACAACAACGATTACTTAGGATCAGCTTGCGAATTTGTGGCACCGTAGTAGAATCATTACCAATGGCACGCTGTGCGCCTAAGTGCGAAAAGACAGTGCAAGCTTTGTTATGCCGAAACCTAAATGTTAAGTCAGCAACACTTCCAAATGCCACTTCTTCCCGTCGCATCCGTCTTCAGGACGATATAGCCATAAAGATGCACGTCTTAGTGGGGAAAAGATTTTGCCCCCGGTGTAGCTCGAAAGCAGAAAGAGTAGAATTCATTCGAGAGAGCTTGGTGGTCTTAAGAATGGTTCGGGTGGGGGATTCTCTTAAGAATAAAGAATTCGAATAGAATCTAATTCATGTTCATGTTAACAGAAGAGCGGATCCAATACCAAGACGCTTGAGAGAAAGGGCTAGCCTTGTATATACGCTATTTCTGTTTATGTCAGAGGTGCCCAAAGCTAGAAGCAAGATTTATAGTAGAATATTCAAAGCTTTTGAGTAAGTAAGATGGATGGATTTGGAAGCAAGTGAAAGAACTAGTTGCATAGATATAGATATAGAGAAAGTCCTTTCTCTGAAGACGGTGATATTAGGGTTTTGAGATCGGTTCTGACGTCGAACAGGTTTTCGACCCGAAAAGCTCCACAGAGCTGTCGTATGCGGGTACTACGAGGCCCACGACTTTCTTGATCGCCTCATTCGGGTTAAGATGTGGCTAAAGTCTCTCCGAGGGTAGCGTATATTACGCTCGAGGTCTCTCGAGCCTCCTGTTGTACCAATGTCTCCGTTTTAGGGTTTAAGGAATAAGGTAATGAAATTCCGGTATGGACTTTTGTTGTTGTTACGACAGGCGGAGAGCAGTGCCCTATTGGTCTAATTCCTGCTTCCCCTTGGTATCGGTAAAGGGGCTGGTAAGCGCTTCCCGAATAGATTCCTTTCTCTTCCCCGGACACCGAACAAAGGGAACCCTGGCTTCACTTGTCGTAGTAAGACCCCCCCTCTATAAGCTTTCCCTATCGCTCTGATGAACCTCTTTCCGCCTGTTCTCTAGAGTTCAAGAACAGATTCTTGCCTATCCCTTATTTGTCCATTAAGTCCGTTTTCCGCTAAAGGCAGCATTAAAAGCACCTATATTGTAATACGTAAGAGGAAGGACGACTAAGCAACTATGCTACTATTGGCACCCCAAACTAAAAACTACAACTGGAAATCCAACTTTAGGTGGTCATTATGATCAGAAACTCACTCTCTGGAGAATTTTATTGACCTCGCATATAACATGGGGAATCTGGTTAGCACCCATATTTAAGAATAAAAGAACAAAGACTTGACTGGACGGTATTCACGAGCAGATGACAAGCATGAGTGAAGAAGGGTCTTATGTTACCATTTTTGGTGGTAAAGAAGATGTTCTTGTTCTTCCATTCCCCAAACCCACTTCAGCTTTCAAGATTGGGTTGGTGTTCCGATAGGCGAGAGGTGTGAAGCCAGATCGTACTAAAGACAATGAAAAAATTTGGAAAATGATAGATTTCAAAAAAATAAGTAAAAGCAGAATGAAAGACAGTCCTATATTGACAAGGACGAGCTTTTTCACGAAGAAAGCTTCGCGCCCAACTGCTTGTATATCGATCGGAAAGAAGCAGCTGCAAATGCTATCAGTGGTTCTTCCTTCCTATCCCATCTATCTATAAGAGTTGCTTGATTCGCCCCCATCTTTAATAGGACTGGACTAAGTTCGGGCAGATCTCCGTCCCATTTCACGGATGCATCGCATTGAGAATTGACTCGTCGGATTAACCACTTAGACGGAGAGTCCCCCGTATTCCATTTCATTGGCAACTGAAATAGATCTAAACGGATTGCGCGGTACCCCGGACCGAAGAAATTTCAAAATGAATTGAAAAGAATATCAATATAAGGCCCAGATGTAACCTGTGCGGAGCAAGCCTACACTGGCCTGCAACTGCTTTCTCATTGGCTCCATTAGGGTTCGTAGTCTCATCCTGAAAAGGTTTTTTTCTTTCTCCGGATATACTCTCAACTTTCCCTGCTATCCTATCAACAGGTCAGTCAATATCAGTAGTGGAGGAAGAAGAGTAGTACCCTTTTTTCAGTTAGTCTTAATAGTTTAATAATTCAACTAGTGGTCTTCTTGCCTAAAAAAAGGAGTCAGCCCAACATGGGCAATGATAGACAGACCAAAGATTTACGCAGTCCTTGTGTGCTTGCTTTGTGCACCGGCACAGCAGAATTCGAAGCTGCTCGGCGTACTAGCCCTATAACGGAGTCAGACCCAACCACACTCTCTTAGTATAAAGCGGAGCAGGACCGTTGGCCTGATCTGACTCCCCACCCAACCGCCCTGGCGTATGTTTCCGAATCAACTGCATCGTAAGCTGCTATAGCTCTTGCCAACTACCCTGGAAATGAAAAAGAAACTCTATCCTCAACCCTTCCAATCCTTAGTTCATGGTGGCAACTTCACCCCGTGCATCCTTTGGTTGTGAGCCCCGCCTAGAGGGAGGCGCTAAGGGAAGGGCGTAGCGTTAAATCTGCCTCGCCTTTCAGAGGTTTGGAACCCTTCTGTTGAGCACCAATTAGAAATCCAATCTGACTTCTAAAACGGAAGTGAGCACAGGTGAGAGGACCCCACTTTCCCGCATCCCTCTCCCCACGAGCAGAACACCAGAGATGCACAGCACGTGGGCCTTGTCTAACGAACGACGACTTTCGATTCTTCACTTCAAGGAGTAGAGTCGCTGCCCAACCCTACCTATATAAAAGAAAAAGAATCGATCACTAGGTCCCGAGCAATTCTACCTTCTTTCCATTATCCAACGCTCATGCGTCCCCTTTCTCCCACTCTTTTAAAGCTTTCAATAAAGCCTTCTTAGCTGTGGAAGCAGCAACCGGTCTGTTGGAAAGTTCCTGCATAAGTTGTCGGATCCTCAAAAAAAAGCTTTTCTGGGGACGCGCTGTTCAAGTCGAGTTTCCTTATTGTCCCTTCCAAGACATCCCTTCTAACTTCCCTATTTCCAAAGGAAGAAAGAAAGGTCGAAAGCTCTCTTTCGAGAGCCTCTTTTGTTGGGCTCGGCGGCCCCAATCGCAAGGCTAGATCCAGATCCCCCATAGCCTGTTCAGCATGAGGAATGGCTGGCGGAGCATCAGGATTTCCTTGATCCATTCTCAAGATCTCAGGCCCCCCTACCAACTCGCTCCCGGTGACATTAGGCACTACCTCATTTGGGCTGGAAATAATATAACTGTCCATAAAACAAATCATTGCTGTGTTTTCGGTCTCGTTGAATAAAATGCAAACGAAATGACTTACTAGCCACAGTATATCCCCGACACAACCTACATTCACAAACGATAGTTGTTTAGAAATTGAAAAAAAATTGAGACTCTAATTTAATTATACGTATTATGTGATGTTTTGGGATTCTTATAGTTTCTATTATATAATAATTGGGATCATAGAGAAAAGAAAATGACAAAACAAAAAGGACAAAGGAAAAAGAATCGAATCTCACTCATTTTCAGGTAAGATTTACTTAGCTCGCTCCTTGCTCGCGGAGCGGCATACCAATAAAAAGAAAAGCGTTATCGGATTGGAATCGATGACTTAAGCCTCTTTCTTAAGGGCCTTTAAAGACCGGCCATTATCGGACTCTTCTTATGCTTTTTTTTTCACCGGGCTTGGATCGAGGAAAGCAGGCTTGACAGGCCCGAGTCTTCATTTGTAGGACTTTGTGGGATGGGCCCGTGCATGTAGGCTTGGGTCTTCTTAACGTGCGTCATTTGACGACTCAGTGCATGGATGTCATGAGTCCATTGGCATAGGCTTAGGCCTATTTTGTAAGTGGGCAGTCTTTGGCAGGCCTGGAGATTCAATTAAGGGGAGCAGTCTAATAAATCGACTGTTGGTGGCATCACGCTATCTTAGATTAGGGATGATAATTCAATATATCGGAAAGACGCTAGGCAAAAAGGTTAGTAAGAATAGGAATTGTTAGATTTCCTGTATCGGAGAGAGAAGCTGAGTCGGGATGAGGGAATTGTTTCTATGCTTTTCTCAGATAATGCGGGTTAAGAGTGAAGCTATCGCGCCTAAGGCGAAAGGCTCTGTTCGGCTCGATAGGTGGCAGGCTCAGAACAAGAGGATAAAGACAAGGGGGAAGTTTAGTTATTAAGTTCCTTTATTAAGGTAAGGATAAGATAAAGAGAGGAAATATATATATATAACTATTATTTAGTTAGACTAGTGACCAATAGCTAAAGAAAGTGAAAGAAGTAGAATCAAGCCATTCATCTGAAAAAAGCTTTTTGCTTTATTTAAAACTTCTCGAACTAGAAAGAGAAGCCCTTTTCAGCAGGCTTCCAGGTTCGCAACTATACTCGTCTCTTACTTTCCCAGCGGAAAGCCAGATAGAACTTTGACTAGAGCAAAAACCCGGAGCTTGACTTTAACTGGAAGAGCAGAGCATAAAGCGCCTACTTGACGAGCAGGAGCAGCGAATAAAGACAGACTTCCACACGGGAGGAAGTTCTGTTCTCTTTATGAGAAAGGCAGATACAAATGTTGAAAGAACTTTCATTTAACTAAGCTTTCTTACTTTCAACTTTCAGTACAGGTCTCTCCTCTATCTAGTAATCTCGGACGCTGTTGGTGCTTTATGTTGTCCGTGGGAAGGCAGTGGAAGAGAAAGAAAGTAGCTGCGATTGCTTGAAAAAAATCAGTTGAATCATCAGGTGGGATAAAAGGAAAGAGTGTACCTGCGCCGCTCGATGATCGGATGCGCAATCTTCCAGCTTCAGGGGCTTGATCAGGATTCGAGGATGCTCCTTGGCTCTTTTGCTTCTTTCGAAGATCATGTCGAATCGCTCTCTCATACTCCTCATAGGTCAGCCCTGGTACCACAGAGGCCGTCGCCGCAGATGAGGGCGGATTCCAATTTGCTTCATTATCTTCTTCTTCGTCAGCGACTACTGCTCGAGACCTACCCTTGTGCGAGTGACTGACGGGGGGAAGCGATGGCTCAGGGAGGGAAGGCGCAGTGCAGACTTGGTTAATCACGTAATCGTTGTGGAGTGCTGTAAGTGCACAAACTTAGCCAAGTTAGCGAGTGTGAGAACAAGAATTCGAGCATTCACTTTATCGAAAAACAGACTGACTCTCTAAAAAAGGAAAAAGCTTCAGAGTCTTCTCAGGAAGCTTGCCCGCGGCCAAGATAGGGAATTGCTTCCGCAGAAAGGCAAGAAAATGCGCTCGAGCAGAAGGACTCACGCTCGGTGATTCAGGAAGACTGAAGAGCAGTCCCAGTTGGCAGCGATCCCAGTCCTGCCTGGCGCGAGCCATAAGAGTAGAAATCCGCGAGGCACTCCCTATCTCTGCCCTTTCCATGGGGCACAGGCCTTAGGAACGTAGGAACTTGCTGGCTATTGAAACTATCCTAACTTTTTTAACGGGAACTGAGTTGACTTGCTAGGGGTAGGGCTGAGGATCCAGCATCCCAACCTGAATTAGAGGGGAGCTCCAATTCGAAGCGTGGGCTACTAATACTAAGGAAGGCCCCTTTCCATATCGGGGAGAGTCTGAAATAGTGTTTTGGAATTCATCGATATCGGAGTACAAATTTTTCAGGTACTCTAACGGATAGAGCTTTTTCTGCGGCATATTGAGAGCCATATAGTCTCCCGCCAATCAAAAATCCCCTAACATTATCAGGTAGGCCCAGGATCTCTAACTGCGCAATCGAATCAAAGCGTTCTCCAATAAGGGCATCATGAGATGTAGCGGTATCTCTCCTCAGTCTATGGTCTCGATTGTGGGTGGGAAAATGAATGCTACTATTACTCTTTTTCAGCTTGAGAACCAATGAAAGATGTGAAAAGAAAGAATGGCCTAGAGGGTTTATATGGATAGCAGTGCACTGAGGACGATGTGGAATAAATGAGGATATTTAATGTTTTATGTTTTCTAAAGAGTCAACGTTCAACGAAGGCAAATTAAGGGCTGCCACGTGTCCCGTGAACTGCTATCGTAATGATCTTAGTTGTTATCTCTTATAGCACTTTTTTTTTTATCCTTTAGTTATATTTGACTCCACTCAATATATCATGCCCATCAACAGACCCACTGCAGCTGTACCGGCGAAGTCAACCTAGAATATTCAGTCAT